TGGTTTTCGGACCCCCCCGGACCCCCCAATACAGTAAAACTGCACATTTTAGAGTGGCCTTTTATTGTGGCCAGCCTAAGGCACACCTGTGCAATAATCATGCTGTCTAATCAGCATCTTGATATGCCACACCTGTGAGGTGGATGGATTATCTCGGCAAAGGAGAAGTGCTCACTAACACAGATTTAGACAGATTTGTGAACAATATTTGAGAGAAATAGGCCTTTTGTGTACATAAAAAAAGTCTTAGATCTTTGAGTTCAGCTCATGAAAAATAGGGGGCAAAAACAAAAGTGTTGCGTTTATAATTTTGTTCAGTGTATATAAAATTTCTATATAATTTTAGCATTTATAATACATTCAATTTTAAATATATATGCACAGGACAATGTAAAATATATTTATTATTTATATATAATGATTTATTAAATATTTAATCTTAAATATAAGATATAAAATATATAGCATATAATTATTATATATAATAATGTAATAATGACAGGTTTTGCTGAGCAAAAACAAAATTATAGAGAACATTGATCCAAACGCATTCACCTAAATGGCACATAATGGATCAATAAAATTATGTTTGGTCCGGACGTTTAAGTGTAAGCATCATGGGAAAAGGAAGGGAATTGGAATGGACATATATTTGTCTTGAATTTAAGGTGTCCAAGCGAAACAACGGTGTGATTCACTCCCTGCGATTAAATAAGCCAAAACAAGCACACATTGAGAGGTCTGCACATTCCAGCCCGAGCCGGGATACGAGCATTATTCCAGACAGAAATCACACTCTTCTCTCTTCCATACACTTGATAGGGATTCAAAATGAACCAAATCCCAAAGGCACGGACCTTAAAAATGCAGTTTACGGTTGCTAAGAGAAGTTATACTATCTGTTACAAGTTTAAGAAAATATCTGATCGAAAGGACCCAGGGACTGGAAAGTGACTTTAAAAATAGCATTCAGAGCACTGGCATTGTGCCCTTGAAACACACAGCCTTACATGGGTCAAACTCCCACAATGCAGCCTTTGAAATACAGTTTTGGAAAACGAATTATTACTCAAAAATGACATTTAACTTCTGTCATAACATTGTCAACAGTACGAGATATGTGGGTAGACAAGAGCGAGCAATTCAAATGAAAAAGGCAATGAAAACCAGGGGGAAAAGCAACAGCAAAAACATTTGTTATTCACTCTGATTCACTGATTTTCTGAACACAGATTATTGAATCCTTGGCATCTTTAACTTTGGTCCTCTACTATTACCACTGCTGTAGTACAAAATAACCTAATTTATCACTAATTAACTAACTTTCCTTAAATGTAAACACATCACTGAAAATGTAACTTAAAAATAATTTTTTTTCAATAAGAAAGTTACATGTATTTTTTTTTTTAAACAATTGTTAATGGCATGAGGGTACAAGATGAAAGCGCATGTATGCATGTCTCCCAGCTATGAAACTGATCAATCAACAATCGATTAAATTAATGTCAATCATCAATTAATCACTTATCAGAGAAGAACCAGAGATGTCATGAGAGATTTAAGCCTGACTCCTGTCAGTGTCTTTATGAAACCAGGATCAGGGTGGCACGGGGCGGGGCGGCCAGGGTGATAGGTCAACCTTAACTCAGAGACGACCCTTTGACAACTACAAAGAGCTCCGTTCAGAGAGCATGACACCCATCAGCATCTGCTCAGTGTAGCTCTCATTCTGCAGATGGTGACGGTGTCACGTTCTGCCAACATAAAATATGCAAGAGTGAAAATAGGTTGATTTTGGCTGCTAAACTGTTAGCTCAGGTTAAACACTTTCACATTTTCACAGGGTAACAAACTGTACTTTACTCAGTTTATGACATATAAAATAACTTGGCATGCCTTTGGGTCATGAATGAATTCTTTGCCCAAAAAACAACAATGGCACCACAGGGGTCCTGGACACTTCTCTGGCACTTAAACGACTGACTGGCTGCATCCCAATTCACACACTTTTACATTTTGTAGAGTATGTAGTTCACTGGTAAAAGCACTGGAAAGTTCTAAACTCCACATAAAAAATATACTATTTTAAGACATTTTAGACATCAAACGGCAACCCAGCATAATACCAAAATTGTTAATTGCACAAAATTTTATTAATAAAAAGACAACAACAAACTTATCAGAACATTTTTGGGTTACAACCAATCACTTGAGAGACACTGCTATATAGTATGGGAATTCAGATCCAGTCATTTTACCAGAATATCAACACAAGACGGATGCTTACCTCGCCGAAAGCTCCTCGCCCAATGACCTTCAGGATCTCGAAGTCCTCCTTGTGCAATCGCATCTGTTTCACTTTAGAAGTGAACGATTTGGCTGTGGAGAGAGAGAGCGAGAGAGAGAGAGACAGCAGAGGTTATTACTGAAGACGTTCAAATCCATCACTTCATGATGGTGAGCCATAAGGGCCTGATCTTCTCGAAGGGATTTTGTAGCAGTTTCAGTTACAGCACATTCACACAAGTCAAAAGTTCAGAGGCATCTCTGAGCAGGTGTGAAGGACAGATTGATGGTGTTCTGCAATAAAGTCTTGCAGGGATTGAGCTAAACAATAAAATTGGCCACTGTGACTTGTTTTCCTCACGTGATAAAATAACTCCATCAATATTTCATGTCCACTTATTTGGCAAGTAGAAGGATAAGACAGTCATCCTGCCATTATCAAAAAATAAACCTGTTCAAGGTGGTACGAGAGGTTTTATTTTGCGATAATGAGCAGCTTACAGGCCTATATTCTCATTTCCCCTGACATCTAATTAGAGAGAAAAGTCTTGTCACAGAAGTGTGGGTTTAATCATGAATGGCAGCACAAATTTGCCATTTACCCTGTTATTGGGACTGATCCTGACAGTGAGGTTTGTATCTTATAGACTGCAAATCATGAGTGTGTACAATCACAAAGCATCGTCAACAAGTATGGGGCTACTGCAGGACGACTACCTTTAGCAATGAGAATCAATTATTAGCCAACATTATTGTATGAAGCACACAGAATATGATTTACTGTGTGGTTGAGAAGATGTGCAAGGAGTTTCTATTGAAACCTGTGAAGAGGACGCACTCAACTCAAGGATGCATGTGATCACCACCATCCCAAATGGCCAAGAGCAATTAACACATTTGAATTTGATACATTTAAGCCCAATAATTAGGCTATAAGAACTATTAAAATGTGTTAAATTAATGCCAGTTAGTCAATGTTTTTCTTTAGATTAACCAGTCTATCCATGACTAGAATATCAAAGAATTGGGAGTGGGATTTTTTGACTTGAGTAATGAGTAATTAACCCCCTAGCAACCACCCAGAACATCCTAGAAGACCCTAGCAACCACTCAGAACACCTTTGCATCATGTGGCAAGATTTGCACTGGAAAACTCCACTTACATTTTTTCTTCCAAAACTTAAGAAATGTATTTGAGTCCATAAATGATCTCAGTAAGTATCGGGTAAACTATAAATCATTGTATGATAAAGAGAGGAAAGGCTTCTACGTTCTACTGAAGTAAGATCGTACTGCTACAATGCTGTGTGCTGCGTATGAATGAACTCTATATTGGTCAATGAATGTCACATTGAGTTCAGACACTCACAATCAGACACAAAGACAGATCTCTTTTCACTTGGACTGCATTAAATCCAGTCTCTTGTACAGACACTGAGCCTTGTGCTGTTCAGTTAACCCTGAAAAATAAAAAACTGATGTAGTTAGCTGAAACCAAAGCAGGCTCCAAAATACTGAAGTTACAAACATACTTGGTTTTTAAACGAACCGTTCACCCAAAAATGAACAAAAATATTGCTTGTTCTCATTAAACATTTCCACATAATATCATATAAACAGATCACTCAGACCATTTAAGTAAACTAAGTTGCTTGTTCAGAAATTATAATGGTTATTATGATGTCAAAACCATGAGTAGATAACATATGACTGCTCATTTTTATGTATCAGCACCTATTAAGTAATCAACAATATTGTTGTTACACATTTCAAGTCTTATGAGGTTATCTAATCCAATTTGTTTCTATGTGTGAGAGAGAAACTGAAAAACAGTCAAGGAACTTTCGATCAAAGTGATTTGCTTATATCCCATCAGAAATCCTTCACTAATGGTGCTGCCTCACTTCTATGGAAACAACTGGAGAAAATATAGTATATCTGAGCACTCTCGTCAAACACGCAACTCCAGATTCCACGTTCCTGTTGAAATCACCTGATTAGGATGTGTATTTACTGTCATGCCTTTGGCAAGAGTGTGCCGTTTCTTTAATAACAAACAGCAAGAGGTTCTAAACACACAACTAAAAAAAAAAAAACTGTAAAATGACAGAAAGCAATAATAGTTTGTGGCTGGTGTGGCCTAGTGGTTAAAGATCTGGGTTGGTTGCTGGTTTTAACCTCTGATCAATGAATTATCATTTGACCAAGTCATTTAACACCTCATCCTAATTGCAATGAAACAATATTCTACTGACAAATAATACACAATGAGTAAGAAAATTACAGTGGCTTAATGTGGATTTTGGATCAATGAGGTTTCACTGGAACTACCCAGAAAGTCATAATAGAAACAGAAACCAAGTGACAATCAAAATGTCTAGTTCCTTATTGCTCTAGCTGGTTAAGAATAAGTGGCACAGCCAGTGCAGATTCCCAAAAATCAGGATGGCCGATGCTGATATAATAATATTTTATATACTATAAATATATAGTATATATATTTTCATTTCTTGAAAATTTTCACAAAACATGATCAGTCAAAATTATTAGATTATCAGTTAATGCCAAAAATCTCCCAAGAATTTTATCAGTCTATCAACACAATATTAAGCAAGTAAGATATAGGATATACTGATTCTTTTTCGCAAATTCACGATGAAAATTATGAGGACATTGAGATGGATAACCTAATATGAAGCAAACAAGACATATCACTTCAAGAGGATGAGCTCCATTAGCCAAAATGTCAGGCAGCTGAGTTGTTGATATGAAATCTACACACACAGCTTTGTGGGATATGAGCAAGATTCCATGTAAACAATGCCGTGACTATCAAATGTTACCACAGTGTCAGGCATCCTTTTACAGGGCATTAGAAACAGATGGAAAACAGACCACCTGGAACTGCCATCACGGCCTCCAATACATCAAACAGGGAAAGTGTATAACGTCTATTAATAAAGGACAGTTTAAAAGTCAAGCCTTCCAAAGAAGAACCTACACTGTTTCCAAAGTGTCCAAAACAACTGCAGCACGCACAGGTCGGTGTTCATTTAAGATCTGAATGCAGAAAGCTCAATGTGTATATATCACTGTCACAGTCTCCAGCGTAAGAGGACACAGAGCTGCAAATCAAATGAACCACAACATCTATCTCCAGCAATACCCAAGAGACCATATAAAGGCAAAGACACTGGCAGGATCATTAAAACACGATTTCCATAGAGGGAAAGAAGCGCTTAAAGCCAGACTGCAGAAAGACCTCAGAAATACTTGTGAGCGCATGCCATGTTCAAACCTGCTCTGCTCGACTCCAACATCAAGAGCATTTTCACTGTGAAATGTCTGCATAGCACAAACACCGGGCATAGAATAAATAGTCAGAGCTCCTCAGCTTTTGTTCAATGTCTGTAGTGTTACTTCATATACATAAAACTATTCATTTAAGACCTATTACATAAACTGAAATATTATGATTAAGGTGCAATAATTTAAAAGCTACAACAAAAATAACTTGAAAAACATTGGTTTAAAATCTGAAATCAATAAACAAACAAACAAAATAACCTGTAGATCTCAATATAATGTGTAATGAAAGTTAATACAATTAAGGGTGTGAATTTATCGGGATAAAATATTTAAATTGTGTTTTTAATCTCAAAAAGACAAGACCATAACATTAGGTCAGGTCAAAAAAGACAAAAATAACATGATCTCCAAACATAAGCCAGCCAGATTTTCTGAAGATCAGTAATGTCATGAAACATAAACGGATTTTAACTCTGTAAAAAACAACTACTAGTGTTTACACTAGCATTTTCATCTGCGAGAGAGCAAATAACAATGGAGGAACAAGTCTGGTCCTAAACCCAATCCGTTCAGGACAGACAACAAGATTCTTACAATCCCTAAAATCATATTGGTTTTGCCAATCACAGCGCATGACACTCCTAAACAAGAGTTGACTTGCTATAATACAGATACAAATAAGGACTGAATATAAAGGAAAATCTCGTGATGAGGCGGATTTAACCTTTGAATACGAGAAACCTCCCAAAGTTAATCCAAACCTAATCCCAAAATATGAGACCGGTTTTACCTGACAGCAAACCCAACCTGCATAAATAAACTCATCCAGTACATATGAAAGCTAGAACAGTGGAAAAGCAGAAGTTGGGGCTGTGACAGGACAACCACATAAATCCGCCTGGGTTGTCAATTTAAACCAGCTGTCCAAGGAAACTCACAACACAGGGGGACCTCTTCAAATACCAGAGGGTAGTTGTTAGTCACCGTTCACGGAGTCAGCCTTTTCTTTCAAACAGTTGGGCCTGAACAGCATCTGTGACTTGCACATTCCTACAATGGCCTTAAAATAAGTCTTCAGGCCTCTTTCCAATCAGCAGAGAGAGCATGGAATCACCACACTAATTGCTAATTAGTCAACTGATGTGTTTAAAAGCACACTTTTATTTTATTTTTAAAGATGCCTGATATATATATCTCTAAAAAGAATAATCAGCATCATTAATCACCTGATTATCTTGAGTAAATAGTTAAAGCAGACAATATCAATGCCTACTTTTTCTAATACAGTTTGTACTTTTTTTGCCCATTATAAATTATAATAATTTGATGCCAGATTTGAGGTAACCCGAGGTTAATGTTTCCCTCATGAGTACAGCTTATAGGGTTTGAACCTACAACTTTCAGTTACCAGCCCAGACTAGAATAGACTATTCAACACCAACAGAAACATTTCAGCAAGAACACATTATGTATTTCTCATCCAGACATTATAAATCAAACCATGACGCCTGGTATGATGAAGGAATCCCATCTGAAGCATGTGGTCGTCCCAGTACCGACAAGAGATAACACATATCTGGCTGATGATCTGGGCACGAGTTCAAGCTTGTCCTGGCATCGTCTCCAACCAACCTGTGGCTGAAAGGTGTGTAAGGATCATTTTAGCCTAATGCAACAGAGGGAGTTGTTTACAGCATTTTAAAATGCAGAATTGAAGTTTTATAACTAAACAATAAATCAACTCCCGGAAGAGCCTACAAATTCCTTCCATTACTGCAGCACTGCAGTAGCCATCCCTGAAGAATATATGCAAATAATCTTGGAAAGCTCTTCTATATATCTAAGCATCAATGATTCTGAGAAAGGCTGACAAGAAGAAATGAATTAAAATGCAATCACAGTGTCTAATCCCAAAGCATTAACCTAAAACATAGCATATGCTCAGCTCAAGAGGTCTACAAGTGCAAGGAGTCGCACTTTGTATTCTGGTCCCTACAAATATGATCTATCCTTTGTATTATTGTGTTACAGTGGATGTTTATTATTCTCAAGCTCTGCCACATTTGTTTGGTATATACTGTGTGCATCAGTCAGGACTTCTGTTTACAGGGAAGGAATGTTTACAATTCAAGGCATTCAGGGTAGTTGCAAGACAGGCCACAAAATAAACAAACAAACAGCACACTATGTTCATTCACAGTAGAATGTGATGTGGAGCTCCAGTTATTTCCTGCTCAACTTAAAAACGTAACGAGTTTAAAGTCATATTCTTTAGTTAAGCTGGGTCAGGAGGCCCCTGATTAAACACACTCAAACAATGCAACTACTTTTCCCATTACACTGTATATGGTCAATTACACTGTAGTCACATGATGGTCACTTCATAATACTCCCCAGCCCAGCTATTAAAGGAATAGTTCATGCAAAAATGAAATTTTGTGGAAAATGTATTGACCCTCCGGCCATCCAAGATTAGATGAGTTTGCTCATCAGAACAGATTTGGAGAAATGTAGCGTTACTTCACTTGCTCACCAATAGATCCTCTGCAGTGAATGGGTGCCGTCAGAATGAGAGTCCAAACAGCTGATAAAAACATCACAAGTAATCCACACCACTCAAGTCCATCAGTTAAAGTTAAAGAAAAGCTATGTGTTTGTAAGAAACAAATCCATCATTGAGGCGTTTTAACTTTAAACTGTTGCTTCTGGCCAAAATGTGATTCCATAATCTTCACTTCCTTCAGTGACACGTTCATCATCTGTTGTCCTCTCACACAAAATCCACCCACATGTTTGTTTAGAACTGTTTCAGACTGTTTTTGCTTGTAAACACTGCTTGATAATTCTCTCCTGATTCAGACGAAGTGACTTTTATGCTGGAGGAAGCAATATTACGAATAGAGGACCCTTAAGCAACGATTAAAAGTTATAAACATATTAATGATGATTTTGTTTCTTACAAACATGCAGCTTTTTGCTCCACAAGAGATTAATTGATGGACTGGAGTCGTGTGGATTACAGTTTTTTTATCAGCTGTTTTGACTGTTCATTCTGACGGCACCCATACACTGCAGACCAATTGATGTAATGCTAAATCTCTCCAAATCTGTTGCCATGAAAAAAACTAAAATTCATGTACATCTTGAATGGCTTGACGGTGAACTGTCATTTTTGTGTGAACTATTCCTTTTATGCATTTACAACTTTACCACCAAACATGTCAACGTCATATTCCATGCTTGGAAAAATCCTTTGTATAAAACAAAAGTGGGGAGATTTCACATTTCAGCCATCAGCAGTGTTGTTATCCATATAGAGAATGACACCGTATAGCCTGGGGTCTTTTTCTACCTTATTTACACAGCCATAGCCTTTCCTATAGGGAACCAGTTTGATTACCAAGATTAATTACCAAGACAGTGAATAGCACAACCTTCAGTGTCAGAACACTGCCACAGGCAGAAGTAGATTTCGTTCATTACTTTTCGACTATCCCTTCGAGATATTCGATAGCACATGTACTTATAAATCAAAATGGTTTGTGACACTGTTTAATCAAATTCTAATATCATATACTCCCTTTCTGAGGTAATTTCAATACATGCCCCATGCTCAACGTGCAGGTATGATGGCTCAGAATTTAACAGCATGTTGCTACTTGACTTTTCCAGGGCTGTACACACACACACCTATGATTTAGTGCTGCCAAATGTGGCTTAAAGACATTTGTTGCATGAACTTCAGGGAAATATCCTTATTTATGAGTACTTTGCAACCCAAACATCTACTGAACTTAGGTTTGGTACCATAATAAGATGATTTAATCAATAAATACAATGACTTACAATGCATGGATTTGATATGGGTTTAACATAAAATGCACTGGTTTACAATGGGTTAAACATAAAATGCATTGGTTTAAGATGGCTTGAACGTGAAATGCATTGATTTGATATGGGTTACACATAAAATGCATTGATTTACTAGGGTTTAAACATTAAATGCATTGATTTAAAATGGTCTGTGCATGAAATAAACTGATTTAATACGGTTTAAATATGAAATGCACTGATTTTAGGAAACATGTTTTTAAAGCATTATACTCACTCCATTCCAAAAACTCAGCAATGTTCTTCTCTCTTCTGAGTGGGGAGTTGATGCACTCATCATAAAGGCAGATGAGAACATCCAGAAGAGTTTCCACACTACAACACTGTCCATTGGACTGGACAGGACCATCCAGAATCAGTTTTTCCAGCTTTTTCAAACGCACTTCTCCAGACATGGTTCAAATCGAATGTCAGTGCAAAATATGTAGTGTAATGTTATTAAAATAGATACAAATACGCGATTACTCTTTGGAGGGGATCTGTAAATAGCTATAAATATAAACCACCCATCATCACAGAAAAATGCAGTCACAAAACTGCAGTAAACTCAAAATTAATTTTTATTTCATACTTTAATAAAACTTCTCACTACATCTTTTTAATGTACTATGTACTCAGTGACCAACAAACCACCAAATGAGGGGGACAATTTAAGCCATTCATCCAAAAAGACCTCGCACTTTTGTGTAAAACTGTAATTTATCTCTTGCGTTTTGTAACTATTAATTTACATACATTTAAGTGCCTTCTCTGTAGCTACTCAAGCTAACGAGCTAACATTCTCGCGACACAATGTATCTTAACTGTTTTTCTCTCATATAAATACAAAAAAAATCGTGTATTAATATTAACAAGTACTAGTGTCAAACCATGTCAAGTATATAGACTTAAAAACATTCCCAGTTTGTTCAACTTTAACGGGTTAATATAACTGATGCTAACGATCAGGCTAATAAAGACGTTCGGCTAGCAAGCTAACAGATTTTGATCTCATCCTGAAAGAGAATTTTCCTCAAAACAAACAAAAATAACATGACACGCCCCCCAAATGTGACATTTAGGCATTACGTGTGTGGAAAAGATGGATAAAATGTGTTTATGTCCGCAAAAAGTGAGTTTCGCGAAGTTCTCCAAGGCACCGATTGAGTGTCGCTTAGTTTTCCATAGTCCTTTTCCCATTAATAATTCCTCAAAAGTAAGTCCTACGCACGGGATGAAGTCCGTCAGAGGATGATGATGACGGGGTGAAGATGAGGAGGAGGAGGAGGAGGAGGAGGATGGTGTGGATGCGGGGTGACGGGGTGAATCTCTCTCATCTGCCCGCCGCCACTCAGTGTGATTCAGGAAAGATAAGGAGAAACATGGCGACTAGACTCTCTCTCTCTCTCTCTCTCTCTCTCTCTCTCTCTCTCTCTCTCTCTCTCTCTCTCTCTCTCTCTCTCTCTCTCTCTCTCTCTCTCTCTCTCTCTCTCTCTCTCTCTCTCTCTCTCTCTCTCTCTCTCTCTCTCTCTCTCTCTCTCTCTCTCTCTCTCTCTCTCTCTCTCTCTCTCTCTCTCTCTCTCTCTCTCTCTCTCTCTCTCTCTCTCTCTCTCTCTCTCTCTCTCTCTCTCTCTCTCTCTCTCTCTCTCTCTCTCTCACACACACACACACACACACACACACACGCGCGCGTCCTTTCACATCCAAACACATACACGTCAAAATAAACATACAACATATATACTACAGGCTACATATATACATGCATTTACATAAACATATTGTACACATACGTATATAGACATTCACGTGCCTATAAAACATACATAAATACAGATATAGATACAGTCTCAGAAATTTTTTAAGAAATAACATATCAATTAAAACAAACATAACATACACACAAACAAACAGACATGCACATGTAAACGCATAGAGACACTTTCAAAATACACAAAAACAGACACAAATATAAACACACAAAAACATAAACATAAATGTGTGTCCATAAATACACATGTATACAAACAAAAAATAGGCATACATACTGTAAATACACTCTGTAAAGCTGTTTTGCTTAAGCAGGGAAGTTAGGAATGGGGGTGGAGCAGGTTGGGGTCACATGTGTTCACACTTTTTAAGATTATTTTTATTCTTTATGGTATTAAGCATGCTTTTATAGATGGTTTAATGTAGTTTAGTTGAATCTATCATACTGTCTATGTGTCTGTCTGTCTATTCTAGAACAATATGGTCACTCAATTCATTATTTTTTTTTTACTTATATCTTTTCAAATGGAAAACTTTGTAACATTCTTTTGTATATTTTAAATTCCAATACATTTATGTGGGGCATATTTGTCCGTTTATAAAAAAATGTTTATGAAATGTAAAATACAGAAAAGTTGCTCTCACTGTAAACGTCCAAGTACAATAAATACAATGTAACAACATTTTAAAAATTCACTTTTATTGCTTGCTTAAATGTTTAAGTAACACCCAAGTGGTACAAATGTCACAACCTGCAGTCCTAAGTTAATTGCAAGTTATTAAGCCACACTGAATTGAATTACCAATGAAGGAAATAAAGTTGAACCTCTGCAAACTGCCGATAGCATAAATAAAGGTGGCCGATTAAAATTGATTAAATTAAATATGTTATTATGATATAATAATAATAAAAACTATCAAATAATGTGACGCTGTATGTAATTGTGCAGTACTACAGCATAAATGGCTGCCCACTGCTCCAGGTGTGTGTTCACGGTGTGTGTGTGTTCACTGCTGTGTGTGTGCACTTAGGATGGGTTAAATGCAGAGCACTAATTCCAAGTATGGGTCACCATACTTGGCCACATGTCAGGTCACTTTCTTTACATTTTGGTCAATTCTACAAATGCCAGAGCTCCCCCTTAGGGCTGAAAAAATCTATCCAGACAGTCTTAGATGACTTTCCTGCAAAGACATGGTAAAGCAGCGTCACCTGCTGGTCATTTTACTACTTGGCTGCATGAAATTCATGGAAATAAATTGTGAAGAGTTATTTCAGAATAAATGAACGAACAGAATTTATGGCAAACTGTGATGCAGAATAAACTTTTTATTCTGTTTTTGGCATTTTCAAGCAAAGAAAACCAAAGCAGACTGTGTATTAACAGTTTGTCTGGCTGAATAGCTTAATTTCATTTCTATTAGCCTTGATAGTGGATCAAATAAAGCCCTCCATCATAGCAGTAACCACTGATGTGTGTAGCTGGGCTGGTTTCAGTGAACAGCTTCTAACGCTCATCATTAACACCTTTTGTGTTTATTGGGGCTCTTGATTAAAAGGCTAAAATCAGGAGAGTGTTATTGTTGGTTTAATCCTTCTGATCCCTTTTCATATGCAATTAGAAAATGAGAAATATCACTTTCAGTCTAGATCATCTAATTAATTGATGTGCTAGAATCTGCAGCATGGAGAAATCAAAGAAAGTCAACTGCAACACCCCACCCTCCAAAACAACCGTCTATAGCTAGAAATAACAGTTGGGCTTAATGAGTCATTGAAAGTCTCAGGCCTAAGATCTTTTGGTATGATGGTGTGTATTCAAAACATTAAACTCAATACCGTTTTAACTGGACTAGTCAAGAATTTACCACTAAAAATATACAATGAACTGAAACTAAGTATTATTAAATTAAGTATAATTTAATAATATCTTATACTAACTAGCACAGCCCAAAAATAAGTATAATGGTCTACTAAATAAATAAATAAATAAAAATACTGCTACTAATAATAAAAAAAAAATTTAAAAAATGAAAAAAAAAGTACTTTATTTTCATGAAAAGGTTTCCAAGGTTTTTAAAATTCGAAATATTTCAAATGTACTAAAACATCGGAATTATTAAAATGTATTAAAATATTTAATATAATAATAAAATATAAATTATATCATATAATAAATAAATAATTTATTACAATAAATCTGGGGCATTAAATATATTCATATTTATCTACATACATTTTTAACTGTTACTATAAATGATTTTCTTTCTATGTTTATTCATTTGTCAAATGTCAAACTGTCACTGTCTTTAATCAAGAAAACTTTTTTAACTTTTTTAACTTTTTTACAGAGATACAACTGTGTAAACGCACACATTTAGCATTTTTAAGTCTTTACGACAAATTCTTATGACTTTTTCAAATTCTCATGTCAGCAATAGGACAGCAGTTACATTTACAAAATTGTATTAGTTGCACTATAAATAAATAAAAGCTATTTTTTTCACAAAAACACTTTAGAAATATTAAATAAATAACTTTAAAATAATAAATGCAATCATAAATAATGTTAAAAAAAACTGTTAAATGCTAACCTGTTTTATAATTATTTTATTATTATTATAATTTTTAATCTCAGACTACAAACATGGCTGCAGTTTTTCAAATATCGAGTTTGGTTTTCAGGTTAAAATTGTTTTTTTTATAAAATATAAAGGTTTCAAGTTCTGTATGAATTTTAGTTCTTAAATTTATGTTAGAGAAAATGTGGCTTATCTGTAGTGCTATTGACATCATTTAGAATGATAATAGCCATGTTGATTCATAAACATTGGATTATACTGTCTTGCCCATCCTGACAAACAGCGTCAGATAATAACACGATTACCATGAAAACATGGCTGTGTAGCAAGTAAATTTGCTTAGCTGTCTGACGTGACGTGATCCGTCATCAGCCGTTCCTGTGCCGACATTGTCTGACATCCCCAGGACAACCTGCAGCCCCAATACACAATACACAGACTGCGGTAACTTTAGTCCCATGTTGGCAGGACAGAAGAGGTCTGAGCAGTCCTGCAATAGTAACAGATAATCACCCCCTTGAGAAACTCCCTCCAATCCACATCCCTGAACACACTCCTGGATTCACTGCCTCTGTTTGTGGAATAATGACAGCAGGGGTGGCCATTTCTCAATACACTTTCCTCTCTCCTCTGCCCTGCCAAATACACTGCTGCTTTTACCAAAGACGGTTACAGCTGGAAAGTAGAAGGGTCCGAACTGAAATATAGACAGAAACAAAGCAAATGAATGCAACAAATAAGTTGAACCATGCACTAATTACATCCACACAATTGACAAAAAATTATTGGCTGCAGAATAAATAAATAAAAGCTACATTTTATTCACAAAAACATTAATTTCTGCTTTAGAAAGGATGCATGTAATAAAATTAATAAAATAAAAGTAAAAGTAAATGCTTTGAAATAGATTAAACTGATAAATAAATGTATAATTACATAAATATAAATACATACATATATATAATTTATTATAATTTTATAATTACAATTATAAATTACATTTAATATTATAATTATAATTGTTTAATACATAAAAATATATAATGACCTGAACATACCTAACAATCATAAATAATGTAAACATTGCTTTGAAATTAGAACTGATTTTGAAAATAAAATTATTTTGAATAAATGTATAAATAAATTTATACATTTGCTGATAAATCTGATAAATAAATGTAAAAATCCACATCGTTATATTTTATATGTATATATACAAAAATATATAACTAATATAATTTATATTTAAAAAAATCAAATAAAAATGTAGATTTTTTACAAATCAAATAGATATTAGAACTGATTTTGAAAATAAAATTATTTGAATAAATGTATAAATAAATGTATACATTTGCTGATAAATCTGATAAATAAATGTAAAAATCCACATCGTTATATTTTATATGTATATATACAAAAATATATAACTAATATAATTTATATTAAAAAAATCAAATAAAAATATATAAAAAATATATAATGAACATACTTAGGATGCATTTGAAAAAATAAAGTAATGAGCAACAATAGGTGGTCTAAATGGGACATGGCTTTGAAGGGTGTCTTTTTTAGGTTGTCTCCCCTTTGTTAGAGGTGTGAAGAGCTAGACGGGGTGGGGGGAGGGAGGGGGCGACTGTATATAAACCCTGAGAGACTCAAGAGAGTCAGTCATTCAATCAGGAGAGCGACACTGGCATCACTACTTCAAGCATGGCTCTGCTCATCCAGCTGCTCATTTGCACCACAGTGATCTCATTCACTCAGGGATTCGACCATGAGGATATGAAGCAGGCGATGCTCCAAAAACTCAGACTAACCGAACTCCCCAGGATTCAGAAGAGAGATTTGGAAAATCTAGTCATCCCAGCTCAAGTCAAGAACAAATATCTGTCCATGCTGAAACTCCATCACAAGCGCAGGAGGAGATCTCTGCCAAGCCTGGCGGGAATTCTTAGAGGAATCCATGGGAATGCAGGTGGGTTATATTTACAAAATGAAATTGAACTGTAAAAAAGTTTTAAAATGTGTGCATTG